AATAAAACTTTAATGAGATAGATGATGACTCTGAGAGCTTCATTCAGAAAGGCTGTGTAGAGTGGTTAAGGCCTGGAATTATAAAAAGCTATCAAGAGTTTGCGGAAGTGAGAAAGAATTGATGGACATGTGCCCCAGGATGTTCTAGGGGAACAGACTAGAAAGACTGTCAGAGATAATCTTCCCTTGTCAGAGATAATTTCCTCTGTTCATAGATCCTCAAAATTGCAAATTAACCAAAATATTACAGAAGATGAATAAAAATAGTACCAGCACCTCAGCACTCCTACTGACAACTGAAGAGCTACCCAAGGAAAAGAAAAGTCAAAACTAACCAGCAACCAAACGCATGAAATAAGAGCAAAAAGTATATGGTGGTGGATATTAGCTAATATTTATGAGTGAGAAAATAAGTGAAATCATATATTCTATGACCTGTAACTCAATAATGCCAACCTAAAATTTTCTCTTCAAAGCCAGGCATACAACACACACCTTTAATCTCAGTACTCTGGAGGCAGATGGAACTTTGTGAATTTGAGGCCAGCAAGTGAGACCATGTCTCAAAACAATGACCACAAAAATTCTATAAAAAGAACTATTAGCTTTCTATTTTGAGTAAATAGAAGATCTTGGCAATGAAGGACACAAAACCTGGTAAATTTCCTGTTATGGAGGTTTACTTTGTTATACTTAGAAAAACTGACATGTTATGTAACTGATAAAATAAATTGTTAAACAGTTGGACAAATTTAGAAATAAACACTGGTAGTTTGAAAAGTACCTATTTTAAGATCCTATAAATGAAGATGGATGCTGGGGAAACCACTGAGCTGGTAAAATGTCTGCCGTGTAGTCATGGAAACCTGAGTTTGATCCCCAGAATCCAAGATAACAAATCCAGTATAACAGTGTACACATATAATGCCATCACTGTGAAGACAGACACAGCGTGATCCCTGGTGCTCACTGGTCAGCCAGCTTAGTACACTTGGTGAATGCCCAGGTAGGCCAATTAAATTTGTATTTAAATAAATAAACTGTAAAGTGCTTAATAAGCAACAACACCTGAGATTGATCTTTGCCCTCCACATGCATGCCCATACATACGCATGTTCATCCACTTAAACATAGGAACCAGCACACTCAAGTAGATTTGCTCATACATAAACATGTTCCCAACAAAATAAATGACTAGATGATAGGTATTATCCAATCCTAAATGGCACTGAAGTATTTTATTTATAAAGCCTACACTTGCTGTCTGAAATGAGAAGGTTGTCACAAGTTTAATGTATGCCTGGGCTACACTGCAAGAACTACTATACAGTCCAGAGATACCTAGCAAGACTTTATGTCAAAAAAACAAACAAAAAGAAGATGCTGAATTAAAAGCATTCCATGCCCCTTTTCTGATAACTTTTTAGGAAAAGACTAAAGGTAATTTTTTTTGCTTTTAGCACTTAAGCCACTTCTGGGCAGAAAAAAAAAAGTCATCCTTAAATGCCCAAGCTCTCTTCTCCAGATTCTGAATACACTATGTTACATGGTATCAAAGACTTTGTAGATGTGGTTATGTTAAGGATGTTGAGAGTAGAGAATCTATCCCGAGTTATCTGTTGGGGCCCAATGTAGTCAAAGGACATAAAGGGAAGGGAGACACTTCTAGAGGGCACATTATACTCTATGACACAAAGATTTTAGCCCAGAACATATCTCAGACTACTGCTCTCTAGACTGTAAGTACAAAACTTCATATTGTTTGCAGCTTGTTATTATGTAATTTACTACAGCAGTGAGAGGAAACCAGCATCTCCTTCTTGACATTGCACTTGTGGACCATGCATAAAACATAAATTGTCCTGGAGAGACAACTTACAATTAAGACGGCTTTCTGCTCTTCTAGAGGACTCAAATCCAGTTGTTAGCACCCATGTTGTGTGCTACAGGTTTACAGCTGCCTGTAACTTTATTACTAGGGGTTATGACATCTTCTTCTGGTCTTTGAGCACCAGTACACACATTCACAAAAGGAAAAATACCAAATAATTACACAGACACACGCATTAATATTATTTTGGAACACTAGAGAAAAAATAGAAAAATAAGATTAACAAGGAACAAAATGTATCAAAGAAATGAGTGAAAATATCATCATAAGTAAGATAATAAATTTCAATAAGCCAATAATAAGTATATATTATCAATAAATCAAATCACTTATAAGAATATTATACAGAGATCTTTACATATTTATCCATGTTCTATTTGCAAGAGATTCATAGAAAAATAAAGAGCTAAGTTTAAAAGAAAAATTTCCTAATATCAGACCCATTGATTGGTGAAACATAAGGGATCCTCTAGTTATTGTTTGTCAGCTTAATATGAAATAGAGTCCCCTGTGAGAAGGGATTATCAGTTGAGGAAATGCCTTCCTGTGACTCGAGGCATGTGCATGCCCCCACCAGTGGTGGTGTGTGTATGTGTGTTTGTTTGTTTGTTTGTTTGAGAAGGGGGAGGGAGGGGAGGAGAGGGAGAGAGAGAGAGAGAGAGAGAGAGAGAGAGAGAGAGAGAGGAGAGAATCTGGGTGTGTTGGGAGGAGTACATTGTGGGTGGTCTTACGATTCAACAGCACTATAAGAAAGCAGCTGAACTCAGGATCATGCAAGAAGTTTAGTAAGCACCATTCTTCATGGTTCTTGTCTTTGCTCATCGACTTCCTGCTTTGGCTTTCTCCAATGATGGAAGATGCTTGGGGCGTATAAGACAAAGAGCCTTTTCTTCCACAAGATGCCTTTGGGCAGTGTTCTATCATAGCAGCAGAAAAGCAAATTACAACAAGAGATAGATGTGATCTTTATCCAAAAATAAAACCAATAATTCAAGATAGATAAAATTCATAAAATCTTAGAGAAATTTAATAATTCAATAACTTAACTTTGAAGTGAGCAAACCAAAAATTAATAGACACTCACATGGAAACATCAAAAACTTATAACTTTAATGGAATTTTAATATTTCCTCCTTATTAATGAATGCAAAAAAATTAATCCAACTTTATTTTATTAAGCAATTCTATCTCATGACATGTAATAGGCTAATGTAGTTGACATGTATAGAAATCTGTTTGAGAAAATAATGCATTTAAATATGCAATGGGATTTACAAGACCATACATAGCTACCAAATTATAACACTTTTGCTGACTGAACCAAGATGTAAACAGAAAATCATGATTATTAGTATTAACATTATTGATAAGATCAGCCTCAGTCCAACATTGTATCTGTTTGATGGTTAATATGTGTATGTCTTTATTTATCAGTGTATACTAATTGTACAAAAAGGTAACACTGTAAGATAGCCCTGTGTGCAAATACTGAACTTTGAGCACTTCTGTCTTCTTTTCCTAAATTCTCAACCCCCTACTCTTATCTCCTTAGGTATGCACTAATTTTTCTTCTTAACTATTTCATTATATTTTACTTTTGTTTTTAAAAGATGTTTTAATTTAAAATTTGTGATAACATTTTAATTTGAATTAAACCTTGGGATCATGTCTTTCTTGCCCCCAATTCCTTACAGAGCCTTCTTAACTTCCTTCTACCTAACTTTATGTTCTGTCTCTCTCAACCACTCTCTTTCAACAACAAAACAAAACACACCTCAGAAAACAACAACAACAAATAACAAAAACTCCGCTAACCAGGATTTAAGACAAAGAAATTCTGAAATGAAACAAAAAGTCCACTGAAAAACATGGAATTTGCTTTGGTATATTAACCTTTTAAAACGCTCATTGAGCGTTTGTGTGTGTGTGTGTGTGTGTGTGTATTTATGTGCAGCAGAGGCCAGAAAAAGGCATTGATCTGGACCTGGAGTTACAAGACAGGTGTTGGTTTTGAATCACCATGTGGATGCTGAGAATAGAGTCCAGGTTATCTGCAACAGCAATTAGTGCTCTTAATACTGATTCATCTTTCTATACCAGCAATTAAGTTTTTAAAGCTTATTTTCCAATTTACAATTCAAAGATTGAATTGTATTGAAGGATTAAGAGTCTATACATAATAGTGGCCTTTAAACAAAACTAATTCTGACCACAAGTACACCCAGGGGTAAAGGGAGGGGGCAGGAATAGGGAATAAACTGTGTCAATATTCCTAAGACTAAAAATTATCTATAACTTAAAAGTTAAGGAATGAGATATCACTCAGAAATGAGAATTGCAGCAACATAAATAATTCATCAAAATTTCTATAATTACTATATGCCTGACATTGTTTTTATTACCTTATTTAGGAGACACATTTAACTTGCTCAATAAACCTATACTGTAAATGATCTGTACACGCTAGATTGTTTATCCTGCACAATAAACATGTAGGGTTGTGCCTCTTCAGGTTAGATGAGGTGCCTGAGATGCAAGGTGGTTAAGAAAATTGTCGAATGTCACAGCACTAGCAACACATAGATACATAACAATCATTTAATATAACACCAAATTGTGATTATGTTCTCTAAATTGTGGTCTGTGAAATCCTAAATATGTGAGGACAAAGAGTAGGTAATTTTAAGAAATGCTCTGTAACACGTAGCACTAAGTAAAGATCAAAATAGGGACTATAATTCAAAGAGTCCATTTGTATCAAATACTAATTTCTTCACGCTCATCCAGACGAGTTTCTCAGTGTTTGAAACCTTTTTCCTTGAGAAGTCTTGGAAAAGAAACTGTAGATGTCTGGAAACGATATTCCTTACTAGTAAGCTCTTAACTTGAAGTTATTTTGTTATATGAAAGAGTGTTATAATATTTTCCCATGGTAAATAATTTCTCAATATCATAAACTGTGGTTTTTGTAAAAATGCAATGAAAATTTGCAGTAAAATTCAAAAGACACTACAGTTTTATTTCTGAAGTGGTATCTACTAAATATGAAGATATCTCAAATTTACATAATATGTGTTTGGTATTAAATTCTTATCAATCGTCTTTTCAGATATATTCCTTCATCTTATTCAGAGTTATATCAAATTTGAGGGAATAGATGAAGTGGCTTATGTAGCTGCCCTGTGAATAGAAGTCTCATGATGACTAGCGAGTGTCTGAAAGAATCAATCTGTACTTTGAATTTCTATTTTTCCTTCTAGGAAAGATTTCTGTGTTCACAAAGATGAGCCATGTGATACTGTGGGTAAGTATCTCTGAAAAAATCTCAGCTTGAGGTTCACTGGAGAACTTAAATGGATCAGTTGTTCAATAAATTATTTAAGGGTGCTGATTTTGAAGGAATTTTTTTGCAATGTTGTATATGTATGTATATTTATAGCAATTATATGTTAAATCTTATGTTAATACTACAGTTATTTCGAATGAAACAGCTTAAAATCATGCATAAACTATGCAGTGGAGATATTTTTACATGTCTTTTAAGATTTTTATAAATTTTTAATGTTTTACCCAAAGTTACACAGATATATTCAATAATATTTTATTCTTGCTGCTATCATAATGCTAAATACATTGATAGTATGAGAACAGATTATATTGGGTCATATATACTTCAGTTTCCTTGTAGAGTATAAATAAATACCTCTACTTTGAATGACTACTGAAGACTCTTTGTGCACAAAGGAGCAAATGTTTCATGTTTTGAATTGACATAAAAGCCTCTATAAGGTTACCCTGGAGCCAGTAGAATACATGTGACTATCGTTCTGCTTATTGTACAATATCCACATGTATGCCTGTTAAAAAAATGCACATGTCTTAGTAGAAAGTTATTTATTCGAAGAAACCAGACATGGAGGAATGGCTCAGTAGTTAAGAGCACTGTTTATTCTTTGAGAGGACCTGGGTTCAATTCCCAGCACCCACAAGGCAGTTCATAATTACCTATAATCCAGTTCCAAGGTATCTGCTGTCCTTTTCCCATTTTTCTGTTACCAGGTATTCACATAGTACACAGATATACATGCAAGCAGAACACATATATGCATGAAATGAATAAACATTTAAACAGGAGGCATATGTAGCATATGTATCATATATATGAATGCGTATTTTACCTTTCTAGGTTATGTAGATATAAAGAAAAAGTATTATTGCTAAGGTACATTCAACAGTTATAGTCTTATTTTGGCAGATACCATGTAAGATTCCTCTCTATATGGTATCAAGAGTTTAACTTATCCATCTTTGAGTTTTCATTTCTGCATTACAAAATGACCAATTAAAAATAGATGAGGTTGGTGAGATGGGTCATGAGTTAGTAGCACTCGTTCCTCTTCAGAAGAACCAGGTTTAAGTCCAACACCTACATGGTGGGTCACTACAGCCCACAATTACAGCTCTTGGTGACTCAACCATCTTCTGGTCTCCATGGACACCAAGCATGTCCATGGTACATGTACATACATGCATGTAGAACAGTTTTAGGAGGATAGAAATCAACTGAACAGCTACGGATATTTTTAAGAGGACTCTAAGTAGTTCTATTACTTTGACTTCTTATCAGTATTCTCATAAGTTTAAATTCCTGGATCAGACATGAAATAGAAGTTACAGAGCACATGATGATGATGGGATTGAGGGGCTACTTGGTTCAGAAGGGACTATCTGTCACATAAGAGCTAGTAGACCCAAGGAACCTGTGTTCACTCAGACATGATCTTTCTCAGGTTTTTGCTTTCTTCCTTTCCTTTTCTTGTTTTTCTTTCCCAAACACTAAAATATAGCATGGTATTCATCATCATCACCATGGAGTAGTTGACCACCAATCACTCATGTCTTAACAGAGATACCCTTTCCTCCACTTAGACAGCCATGTTACTATACACACACACACACAAACACACACACACACACACACACATGCGCGCGTGTGCGCACGCATGCACGCACACACACACATGCACTCACATACACCCCTATAGTATGAAATATTTTATGTGCCTGACCCTTTAATTGACTCTGTGCTCTTTAGTGACAGTTGGCTCTTGGACTTCTGGGAACAGGAGAGGATGTGAAAGCCAGTAGAGTCTGAGAGTTGAGAGTAGGATTGAAGAGTAGAGAGAAAGGAGTTGGAGAGAGTAGTAGTCGTAGGCCGTGGGGTCCAGGAGACAGAAGAGTATGTCAGGGCAGAAGAGAAAAAGATAGGGTAGGGCAAGAAGAGGAGAGGAGGGGAGGG